AGGCTGAGCCGCTAATTTCTTAACTTGCTTGATCCATCGAGATGAGTCTTCTTCTCTCTTGTGCCTCTGCTCGCACCTCCAATCTTTTTTGTTCCTCCCAAAAGGTTCTCTCTTTCTTTCTCTCTCTATTCATTTTGCTACATATGGTTTCATACATGACCATGAGTTTATATATATTGTTCAAAAGGTCAATGGAAGAGAAAGAGAATTGCAATACCCAATTCTTCCAAATCACAACAAAGATTTGAACTTTCTGATAAAGAAGTTAGCTCAGCCACTCACGGCGGTTCTACTTGCTGTTTCACCCATCATCTGTTTCCCTCCAGGTAAACCTGACCAAAAGCTTCCACCTTTAGAGTATTTGCATTTTGATTGAGACATTACATAACAACTCTTTCACTTTAAAAACTTTTAAGTTAACAGAGAGCATTTTTGTAGAACACTTGTTTCACTGAAGAATGTTTTCTTGTTGGGACTACTGATATGGAATCTTGATTTATGCTGGAATCTGGATTATGCAACCGGAAAAAAATGATGTAATCAATGTATCCATGAATTACTATTGGAATTGAAGTAAGTTTTGAATGTGTTCATGAAAGTTTCTTGCTTTTGTGGGTATTGTGGTGTAGAATCTCTAGGGCAGACTTTGGATATACAGAGAGGAGCAACATTGTTTAATAGAGCTTGTATCGGGTGTCACGATACAGGTGGAAACATTATTCAACCGGTGAGTTAAAAACCATTCTTGATTCTCTTCTCATGGCATCTTTCATTTCCCTTTGAGTCTATTAGACTATATCCTTTCACTTTTCCAGGGCGCAACGCTTTTCACAAAAGACCTCGAAAGGTAATATAACCAATGCTGGACACTCAAAGAACTTTGTGTTATGTGCATCTATAGTATTCTGACAGGAAAAATCAGTTACACAGATCTTTATCTCTTAAGATTTGCAATGGTCTTTTTACGTTTCTACAGAAATGGAGTTGATACCGAGGAAGAGATATATCGTGTTACCTACTTTGGAAAGGGAAGAATGCCGGTGAGATCTCCTTGAAGAACTTCCTTGTATAAAACTGAGAATATTCCTCCACTTTGCTAAATGATCTGAAGTATGTCTCTGATGATTTACTTTAGGGATTTGGAGAGAAATGCACACCGAGAGGACAATGTACCTTTGGACCGCGGTTGCAAGACGAAGAAATCAAGCTTCTGGCTGAATTTGTAAAGTTTCAAGCTGACAAAGGTTGGCCAAATGTATCTACCGACTAGCGGGTAGCAACGAAGAATTAGTACAGTTCAATTCGGTTGGTGAAGTAAACATTTGCAGCAGTAGTTTGATATTTCTTTGTATCTACTTACACTGGTAACATTTCTTTTTGGGAGGCTTAATTGTAATTGCTTATGCTCCAAGATGTTCTTTAGGTACAAAATTCATAGGTGTTCATAATCTACCAACACATACGTGCTCATAACTTTTGACTATCCTTGACATTAGCCAATACATATACGCTATTCTGAATATCTTTCCTCTGGAGAAAAATGCAGTGGAAAAATAATAGTTGAATCCTCTGGTATGTTATGAAGTCTCATGAGCATAACCTTGACTCTTCATGTTCTTGAGAACCATCTGGTGAATCAGTTCGCTTTCTTTTCTTTGTATCTGACTCACCTAACTGCAAAGAAAAGCCAATCTCATCACCCGAGCTATTAGTCTTAAGAGAAGACAGGTTCTTGGATTCGAGATTCTCTGGTCCATTAATTTTCTGATGGAGTGAGTATCCGTTGTTACTTGAACTTGGAATGAACTGGTGTTCTTCGATCATAGCTGCTGATTCTAACACATCTTCTATTTGGAACTCTGGATGAATGTTTGAGCTGTCTTCTTCTCTAAGAACTTGCTGGACATTCAAGTTAATAGGCTCAAAGTTCTCACCCGTTTTACACCTCGAAATATTGCACACACCAGGAGATGATTCCACAACGGTGGAATCAATTCCAGCACACATAATACTGTTTCTCTGTTCCAGCACCGCCGCTGCACTCAGCAAAAGAGACATTGAACGAAACAGTGTATACTAAAAGTACCACAAAAGAATCTAAGAGATGACACAGACCTTGAAGACCCTCATTGGAAGTAATGAGATCAAGCTCAAGAAGATTAAGAACTCTTCCAAGATCAACTCCACTTGTCCAATTCTCAGGTTGTTCCCCCACTTTTAGCTTCAACCGTCCCCTGTTTGCTGTTCCTCCCCAAATAATTCCAACAGGTCGCGGTTTCTCATTCTTCTCATCGCCCGCAGCCAACAGAATAAGGCTTCCACTGTCACCCTCAAGATCAAAAGTCTGCTGGTTTTCACCAACAACAAGAAAATCAGTTAGGAAACAAATCCCTTTCTCGTCATTGTATTCCAACGCATATGCCATTATGGTCCCAGTGGTCAAACCAGAGCTTCTTCCAACTTTGACAACTTTCCTTCCTATTAGACTGTTGATTGGTGACTGTAGATCAGTAGCATGGATATTACCGATCTCACCAATACCTTTGACAGTTGTGGTTACATTATTCATGTTGAAGTCCTCCGCAAATGGTATGAAGGCTCCATCAGCTCGAACAAATGTTTCTGTAGAACAGGAAAAGAGAAAACAATAGTTAGAATGTGCTACGCCATTAGACTACACAATCAATAGTTATTATATACTTTGTTACCCGACTACCTGGGTTAGTTCCAGCGAAAATGCCATACCAAAGGTCATCGGTAATGAATGAAGTTGCTCTTTCCACTGCACCTAAGTAGACTCCGGGTCCGAGGCTAGGTGGCAAAGGATGAAACATCTTCTGGCTTGGGTAGTCTAAATCAACTGCAACATGACGGTTTGTAAGGAAGCCAACTTGTCTGATTCCGGTTTTACTCTTTACAATAGCTCCCAAGGTTCCATATGTCTCTTGGCTAGCCACCTACAAGAAGAGAGGCATGGCCAGATAATTTTTATAATAAGAATGTCGATAATACAAGCTTATATGCAAGTTTAGTACAAAAGTTACCTGTGAACCAGATCCGATGGACGAACCACTGCCTCTCAGATCATCAACAAGCTCTGTATACACCTGCTCTTTGGGCGTTTGCGCAGGTGCACCATAATATTGAAACTCAACAACATCTACATCACACCAAACTCCTCCAGGACCCTGTCAAAGTAAAATACTTTAAAGTAAAAGGATTCCATAAGCCGACTTAAATAGGCGGCATTATAAAAGAATTCTACAAATATGTTCCAAGTTGTAGTATCAACATTACTAAAGGTTCCAATATCCACTCTTTCCAGCACGAGCAATCGATTAAAAGCGGAAAGTCAAGTATCATAAGCAAGAAATATGTCACCTCCAAGGCTGTAGGTAAACACTGAGGAGGATTAAGCCATTGCTTGTGAACTTTCCGAGCAACAAAAACAAGAATAGCCGCTATATTTGTCAAAACAAGAATAGTAGGTAAACCATCAAAAGTTTCAGGCAAAACACCTTTCTGAAGATTTGCAAAATAGTTTGCTCTGTCTTCTGCTGAATCGTTCAATCGACTTGAAGTAGGCCAAGAGAAGTAAGCAGCAGCAGCACTAGTTTCAGGATGCTGACCGCCTGATGGAAACGGTTGAAGCGGCGATGAAGAAGCCAATTTAATATGATTGTAGCCGTTTTTATCCAAATCCAATGCAGCAGATTCCACAGATTGTGATGATGATACAGAGTGATGAAACCTAAGATCCAATCTTTTCCCTTCCATCTTTACTTCTACTACTTATGAAGATACAATCACCAACCTATACTAAAACTGTACATTAGTTAAAAAAGACTAGCTTTTTCCAAAGTGGCATATAAAAGAAAAGAGCTCATCAAATAAAGTTAGGCTAAACCAAGGGGACTAACACCAAAGTCTAAAGAACACAAATTAGTCTATGTATTTAAAAGGTTAGAGCTTTATTGGAAAATTATGTGCAAGATTGAAAATTGTGATAAACCCAGAAAAAGAAACATGACAAGAGCTTAAGAGATTGAGTGAAACAATGGAGTTATTAATCAAAATCCAAAGAGAACTAAATTGAGAATTTAGGGGGTCTATTAGTTACTAACCGATGATCAGTAGTGTGAGATCTTTCTCATGTTGTGAATACAAAACTCTTTTAAAAGGATTGAAAACAAATGGATTGGTGAAGAAGTGGTAATAATAATAGAGAGGAGGACCCAAGAACTTTGGTTGAGCTTGAGAGTGGACGACGAAGACTTTTTTTTTTCTCAAAAACAAAATTGGAGGAAACAGCGACTCTTTTTGTTTGCCAATGTATATTTTTACTTTTATTTACTTTAAAAACATTATTGCTGTTATATATTTTAGTTGATTTAGATATTTAAGTAATATATAAATAACTTTAAAAATATATAGAGCCAAATAAGGATCTTTCAGACTTTCAGTGTATATTCATATTCTTGCATAGTCTTTCAATGTATAATTGTTAAAGTTGAAAAAAAAATCTTTCTGGAATTTTGAAAATGTTGGTAAAATTAAAAATACAAAAACGAGTAAATATTGCTATTTTAACGGATTTCTGAACAATAGATAAAATCCATTTATTTTTACTTATTTTGTTTTTCAATCAAGTAAAAAGTTGATGTTATCGATAGATTGGCCGTGGGCAGCATTAGTAAATCCAATTCGCAGGTTTGTAAAAAAAAAAATGTTGATTTGTTTGTTTTAGTCTAGTCTTTTTCTCAGGTTAAAGTTAGTTTTACTCTGTTCTTAATTTAAAGTTTCGATATCTTTCGATTCGGTTTTAAAACTTTAGCTTAGTAATTTCAATGTTTATGTTTCTCTTGCATAGGGTTTAGTTTCCGGAAATTCACGTTTCCCTCCGGTTTTATTTCCGGAAACTTTTTCTTCGTCCATTTAATTTCTCTAGTTTGGAATTTGTATTTTAGTTTGGTTATAAAACAACTTTTAATAATAAAAATTCAGATGACCAAAAAAAAATGTATAGGCTATTTAAAATGAAAGATATCTAATTTTGTTTTCGGAACCAAAAAGGCAAATCATAGTAAATTTAAGGAAAAATTGGAAATAAAGGATATCTACTTAAAAATTTGTCCATATACACCTTTTTTGTGAGATTGTCAGTTTCGACGATTTTACCCCTACACCCTAATTTAAATGTTTTTTTTTAAAAATAATCATAAAAACAGGTAGATATACAAGAGTAGAGGTGATTTGAAGTGGAATTTTTTAGATTTGGTTAAAAAAAAGTTGATTTTTTGATAGATAAAGTTTTATCTAATTTTGGTAGAACACGTTTTCTAGAGTTCTGCGAAACTCAGAATGTGTATTCTGCATTTTTGTACATGTTCTACATATTTCAGATTAGATTTCTGTTCTGAGAATTTTAGAAATCCGAAAATCATAAATCTAAAATATTTAGAACATGCATTCTATGTTTTTCTCTATGTTCTAAATATTTTAGAATAGACGTTCTAAGAATTTCTACATCTTCTGCCATCGTTAGAAATTGTAATCTGAGTTTAGAATGTAAATTCTACGGTATTGCAGATTTTGATTTCTGTAATTTTTAGAATGCTCTAAATATAGAAAGTAAATCTTCAGAAAAGGAAACAACATATTTGTTTTTGATTACGATTTAAATGAATATTTATTGTTTAGATTACGATCTACAAGATGTAGAAGTTGTTGTCTACGGTTCTTAGACTAAAATTAAAACCTAAAACGTTTTCTAAACCCTAAGAAGCTACACGTCTTAGTCCACCACTTT